GCAGTTTACATATTTATTATGGTAAATATTACTGCTCGAGGGTCCAGGAGACTGCTTCTAACACTGAACATTGGTGTAATGTGTTCATTCCCATGGCATTTCTTGTTAATTACTTTCTACAGTCAAAAAGGATGCTAATTTCCCTTAATGATTTCCTACACAACATTTATGCCTGGCAATATAAATCCAGTTTCTGGGACTAGGAAGCGCTACAGTGTAGATTTTAGCAGCAATCACCAGACCAGAGATGTGTGGTCAGGGCGATGGAGGACTGCAGGCAATGATACCATGCTTGCCTTGTGGAGATTGATCTTCGGAGCCCCAGGGTGGGAGAGTGGGGCTTGGGGGACAGCCATAGGCTAGACAGAACATCAGACTGCAAACAGACAGGTAGGAAACTCTCAGGACAGTCTTGTTCTTGATACGACTGATCCCCACTGGAACCGCGAACCAGGGCAACTCTGGATTCACATCTGAATTCGCAAGCTGACTAATTACATTGGTTGTTCCTCCCACTGCTGCCCTCCCGCCTTTGGTAAACAATAGGATTTGGCCTGTCCAGCAGCTTCGGGTTCAATGAATCGGCAAGTTTATATACAGAAGCTTTACGCAAAACAGATCTCCTTTATAACACTAAATGGCATATTTTTATTCAAGATTCAGATGTCTACGTATTTGCTCTTCTTTCACAGGCAGGCTATCTACCTGCTTTCACCTGAGTGCTACAGAGAAACTCTCCATCTCTCTGCACACCCCGCTGCGATCGCACCGCCAGCAAGCGTTCGGGCTGACATCTGCCACGTGGCCTTGGATGTAGTTTAAGCAGACAGTACGATGACAGCAAGTGACGTTTTGAGAGTCAGAAATGAATGCGTGACATGTTTTATGTCTGCTGACCACTTCTAATTTAATCAAAAGTTCCCGGCATGAACTTCTTACCGTGTGTTTCCTCCCGCCACTTCCGTATCTTATTTCCACAGTCAGAACGTGCTTCCTGCCAAACTCCTGAAAAGGAAATGCAACTGGAGCGATAAACACAGCCTTCATAGAGCGGGTAAAACCCCAGCTGCTGCTCCCTAACCTCTCTCTAGTTAGACTGAGTATCTCCTCTGTTAATAGCAGGTAAATCGAATTTATTTTTAATGTGAATAATTCTTAACATTTGCTAATAATTTATGTTAATATTATAATGAATATTAATGTATCATTTTCTAATATTACTAGATAGCTGATATTAATACTGTCAATGACTTTTCATATTGAACTGGAACAAATGAAACGTTTCATTTAACCCACAGCGATTTTTTAACCGAAAGCTACAATACAGAATTGACTGTTCTCAAGTACAGGTGAAACATATATCATAAATAAATATGCAGTCACATAAACATACACTATCGATATTTAAAAACACATAAATTAAAGGGCAAATCAACTATAAAGCTGTGCTGCTATTCTGTGATTCCAGAGGGATTCAGGAAAGTCCACCACTTGCCATGCTCTGACTAAGGATACATAACTTTCTATATTTAGACACTTAAGTTTGAAAAAAAATCACAAGCTGACCTCAGCTTTTATCCTTTCTTTGCTGTCACTTCCTCATACAGCAAGTCAAAACCCAGACGCTTAGGAGACACTCTGCTTTTTACGTATATGCTCCCTATGCTCTGCCTCACTCCTACTAGGAGGAGATGTAGGTAGATCTGCTACTTCCACAAGTGTTTGCACAACGTTTTACCCAGTTTCTGAGCAGCAGAAGAAATTAATTCCCAGTTCCCGTATGTGCCCCTTCTGCTCTCCATGGGTCAAGTGGAATGGCAGGCGAATGCCAAGCCCTTTGTGGGGAAAAGAAGGTGGTTTCAGAAGACAGAGTGGGATTTTTTCCCTCAGGAACAAGAGTAGGCTGGTAGAGAGAACAGGAGTTGACAGAGTTCACCTTGCGCAGGCTAAACCCTCGTTCCAGTGAAAGCTTTTGTCTCCTGGGCCCTTGGGGTCTTGTGTGCACAGCTTCTCAAGTGAGAGGTTTGAATTTGTCTAAAGCAAGATGGATTCTTAATTTTATTAGCGAGCTCAAGAGGCTGGAGCATTCCTCTGGAACTGGGGCGACTCAAAACAGTAAGGGACTGGAGCCCACCTCTCCCCCATCCCTCATGATGGTCTTGGTCACCAGAGTACACACGAATCCCCCTCGCTGTGTCCCTTGTGTTTGTGTGTCCTTTGCTACCTGCCGAGACTCTAAATGATCCCAGTCAAGATCCCAAAAAGATCCTCTTTTGACTTTTGTGTTCATTAGACAACGCAATGAGTCATGAAAAAGAAAAAACACAGTTTCCATCCTGCAGCACAGAGAACACATCCTATACCCTGCCTTAAAACATAGGCAAGGGAGGTATTTATTTCCCTTTTCAGCAGTCTTTCAGTAACCGGACTATTGCATAACTGTTGCTTGGCTCGTTACGAGTGTGCTTGTAACCGGGTTAAGCATGGAAGGTCTCTGCTTGCGGCGGTATCAGCTCACTCAGTGATGTTATCCTTCAAAAGGAGCAGCAATTCCATTTGCACAAGTCATCTCTGATGGCTGTCAGGAAAACACACGCTGCCAAAATCAGATAATGGGTTTGGAGTGCCCATAGGCAAGGGCTGGGACGAGATCCCGGGCAAAGCACCGAAGGGATGTAGGGAGAACTTGGGCAAAGCATGGCACTCCCAGGAACACTGGTTAGGAGTGCCTGCCTTTTGGGCTTGATCGCATGTCTCAACCTTTTTATGCCACTATCATCTCTGTTACGCCCCCTTCACATAAGTCCCGATGAAACTGTGCCACATCCGAGAAAAAATGGAGGTAGAGGAGGTGCTTTAGCTCTCAAAAAACGCAGTGTATTTTTATGTCATTGCAAACATGCTGCTCTTTTAGACAGATAGTTACTCTTAGCTCAGGGGCAGGGTTAATCATATAGGTGGAGTAGGGTCTTGGCCTCACTTTTGACCTGGGGATTTCTGCAGATCTGTTACTGCCATGCTCAGGAAATAGCTGAGTCTAGTGGTAAGGATGACAAGCAGTCACTGGTTTTACTTGGGGATTTGAGGGGGAATTTTCTTTTTTTGACTTGGACGTTAACGATGTTTCAGCACACACCAAAATTAGACAATAAAGCTGCAAACAGTAACTAAGAAAAGTGGGATCCCTCATCAGATTTTAATTACCCTCTGTGTGTGCAGACGTATTTGGAGACACAGAGAGAAAGAGAGAGAACC